TAGAACAGGTAGCATACTTTCTGGTGCGAATGTTAGTGGATAAGTAGGTAGGGCCGGGCAGGTTGTCACAGTCTCCGCTCGGGTAGGCGCGTTTTCGCGTGGCAATCTGTTTCAGGGAATAAAATTTGAAGAATCGCGGGCAAAGCTGGAACGAGCGAAGCGCGTCATTCCTTTCTGGCTTTGCTCATCGATTTTTCGAATTTCGCGGTCGCGGTCGCGATTCGGTCTCGAAACGAACGTTGCGCTCGAGATTCCATACTTAGCTTCCGTGATTTTTTTCTTTTTTTTTTTTATTTTTTTTTTCGCGAATAGGGAATCTCGAGCCTAGATTTAAGTTTCAGCGGGCATCGCGCCCGAAGGAGGAAGACCGAAGAGGCCCGACAAACTGTCACGAAGAGGGCTGCATCGAATGGCTTCTCATTTTTTGGATCTTGTTTCGGGTCCAAAGAATGGGAAGTCATTGTTACTATCTCGTCACTGTGCTCGTTTTAGTAATACGTAGTGTGTGTTTTTGTATCTGGCCGATGCATGCGGGCCCATCACCCATCCAATTTTAATGGGCAAATCGCGATTTTTGAATTAGCTTTGCGATAAATAAATTTCGAATTAGAGTTGCGAAGAAATATCGATCGCGGTTTTTTTTTAACGATTTGATATTGCGATTGCTTTCAATTTTTTCTTTAAGAATTAATATAATTTTTTTCACAATGACGTAATTAATATCGTTTCGAATAATAATGTTGCGCAAATAAACGATCGCGTTTTTCGAAATAACGTTGCATAAATAATTGCCCAATATTTCTCCACGATGAATGTGGAAAATGTTCCTGGATCACGTAATGCAGTTGCAAGAGCTGCATAAAGGTGGTTGTACAACGGCGCAGTCTGATATGGCTGCAGTTGGCAAATACAGTTTTTCGCTATTAGAATTGCGTATATTAAAATACGAGTGCATGAATTAAAATATTGATTAATGTTACGTAAATTCGGAAATTTTTCATTCTATTTTTTTTTAATTATTATTTTTTGATTAATAATTCTATCGCAAATAAATTGAAGCACTTCTCGCGATTTCTTTTGTAAATTTAATATATTAATGTTGCTAAAAAGAAAAGAACCACTCACATTGGTTTTATATTGAGTGGACATCATTTTGGTAACAAAATGGCTATCATTTCTTTATTTTTTCAGCTTCTTGTAAACAGAGCATTTATTACAATAAAAATATATATTCGTGAATAAACTTTCGTTTATTAAAATTGCTTAAATTTATATTATAATTCGAGTACAATTATGAAATTTTTAATTTTCAAAATTGTGAAAGATTATGACTCATTTAACAACATTTTTGTTTAGATATAAATTATTAATCCTGTTATCGAGTTTGTTACAGATATGAATCGAAGAAGACGAAAGAAGAAAAAAGAGACGTAGACGTACAACGGAGTTTGGATTTTACAAGTTAATTATTTTTTATTAAATTTTACTAATTACTTTGTTTCTTTTGTTTCAGGAATCTTTCAACGATATATTCTTATTGGATCTAGATTTTTACATAGGCAGGAAAGATAAATTTTTACATAGATTTGAAAAAAAAATATTTAGATTTGTGATAGATAGGATAAGAAATATTAAATGTCAAAATATCCAATATACAGTCCTTTAAATGTCATCTTGTTCTTCATACTCTTTATCGCCAACTTGGCCTTCTCCCATTTTTGTTGTCACATTCTATCAAATCCTCGATTTTTGATAGCTATCCATATCTCCTTGATCGTGTTTCTTTGATACAAGAAACACGAAAAACATTTTTTCTTTCTCTAATAAATACATTAAGTCGTATAACTTAAAAAGGATATAGCTAGAATTAGAAAATTAATTTGTTTACTTTCAATTAAGATAATAATAAGTAATTTGAAAGAAACATTAATTAAAATGTATTTATAATTAAGTGCATGCTATGTGGATAATAAAATAGTGCAATATGGATAAATAGATAATGCTTTGTAAAAGATGCTTACTCTTTTTTTTTTTACCAATCAATTATTCTTCATTTTCATGAGGATGAAAATGCAGAATATTGATATGAAGTGATACACTTTTCTAATCTATATTTTATTTTCAGATTCATTCACTCTTCCACGTCAAGTTAGGCAAATTAATAATAATTTCTCTGAGAGTGAATAAATTTTCAATTTTTTGGATGAAACATCATGATACAGGTGAGATCTGACCAATCTTTATTTCATATACAATGTATAATTGTATTTATGCATTGTACAACATCCTTAAATATCTTTAATATTGTTTTTGAAAATTTATCAAAATAGTTAAACATTTATTTCAATTCCTGTTAATTAATTATAAAGTTCAAGATTTTTAGCTACCAAAAA